AGCATGCTGATCGAAAGCGGCAACATATCTGTCACATACCGGGCTGCAACAAAGTGTACGGCAAAACTTCGCATCTGCGCGCTCATTTACGTTGGCATACAGGCGAGCGGCCGTTTGTCTGCTCTTGGTTATTCTGTGGAAAACGATTCACACGCTCCGATGAGTTACAGCGCCACAGACGTACTCATACTGGAGAGAAGCGTTTTCAATGTAGAGAATGTAATAAAAAATTCATGCGCAGCGATCACCTCTCCAAGCATATAAAGACGCACTTCAAGATGCGATCATCCCTTGAAGTAATGGAACTGGATATAAAATCGGAGGATAAAGGAAATGTTCAGCGGACAGTGGATAATGCAAATAGCATCCAGGATGGCAGTGCCACGTCACACATGTCAAAAACTATAACGACAGCAAATGGAATTTTGACAATTGAACTACCAAACTCTGCCGTTTCAGGCGGAGCTGCCACTCTAGCGAGCTCATCTATTAACAGCAATGTTGGTATAAATGGGCAGAACGCTATAATGCAAATGTCAGGTGCAAGCGATTTGTTAACGCAATCGGCCGATGATGACGATGAGGACTGTACCAGCGATAGCTATGGAGATGAAGAGCTTGATGATGACGACCTTGACGAAGATAATGATAGTAGCGGTGATGATGAGAAGATGACAATTACTGTTAGTGAAGTGGGGGAAAATTCTAACTAACATACGGAAGCACTGTTCATGGAACAGTTCGGATTTAATCAATTCTAATTACGGTTTCCATATTGATGTAAATAGCGTAAAGATATTGCGGCGCAGTGCCGAAGAGAAATTTTTGTTTGTGTGTTGTAGTTTATTTATAGTTTATAATTATGATATCGCACATTTTAATAATATAGATAATTAATTCAAAATTAATGTTTTTGTAGACTACATCATACAATTAATAAGCTTATTAAGGAGAATATGTTCAGTATAACAGATAACCTAAACTCGCCAAAAATTGCGAAGTTATGGGTAATTTTATCTGTTTTTTTTTTGTAAACCAATTATATGAATTGATCAAACTTTGCCTACGTTTTCCCACAATATTAAAATTTTGAAATAATTCTCTTTATTATTAAGCGTGTGATTTGATCGTTAAAATATTTAAAACGTAATGCCGGATTTCCACTAGGCATTGAAATGACAAAAAATGTATGCCATTTAAAAAAATGCCAAGTGGAAATGAACTTAATGACTATTTTTTTAATGTAATGACAAGATTATTTTTTAATGCCCGACTTTGTCATTTGTCATTTTTGCCATTTAATGCCTAGTGGAAATCCAGCATTAGATAGATGTTTGCATGTAGGTGTAAAATATATCGACTTAAATAGGTTTAAATTTTATTTGCGTTGTATTTATTTATCGCTAATAAATTTATACACATTTCTTTTGATAAGTTTGTATGTATTAAAAATAGCCGTAAAGATTTTATATAACACATATTTATGTGAATTATGTAAAGAATTTTAAATTCAAAAATATCGAGTTTATTGTAAAATACGCCAAGCAGAATTTTAAGAAATAAAATTAACTACTAACAAAATAAACTTAATCTAAAGATTAATATTATACTTTTTTTCAAACAAAGGAAACACATCTGGGATTTGTGCTAAGTATGCATACATACATGCATACATACTATATGTACATATTATGGGTGTATTTCGAGAATATAGTCTTATTTTCGAAAGTCTGCCAAATTATATTCCAACGAATTGATAAACTTCTCCTTTTTTTGAAGTCAGTTGAAAACAACAACTACACGCATCGCACGTCGGGGCTAAAGAAAAGTTATCTGCAAAAAGAAGTTCTGAAATGCATCACCACCATAGATTTTTCGAATAGCGGACAAGAAATTAATCATTAAGTGCACCCTGCAAATTTGCAACCCAGTACACGCGTTTCCTTTTTGTATATGACCGAAAGAACAAGAGAGTGAAAAAGTCGAATTTTTGAGCGGGTTCTACGCCATGGAATAATAATTACAGGTATTGTCTTCCCAGAGAGCACATATTCCGATCTGCTTTATTTGAAAAACATCATTGTTGCCCACACTAAAAGGTTTACTGCTAGGGAAAAGGGATACTTCCATACCCCATATACCACTTATGTGTACGAATTTTTTAAACCAGCCTTCTTGCAGTGAACTTATTTAATTTGCAAAAAGAGGAAAAAAAACATTTTCTTGAAAATAAATTCAAAATTTGTATGGCTCACTTCATTCCATGATTCAATAATGAAAGGTTTTGTAAGAAAAATTTTCTCTCGCTCTAATTTTATCAATGACACTCCCACCATACTCCTAAAAACAAAAACAGTGATATTTCTTTTCCAAATATCTTTGCAAGTTTTAAGAACATTTTTAAATTGTTAGTAGTGAAATTTTTACTTTTTAAATTTGAAGAAATGTTTGTTCTTCATTGGCTGGCGCCAACAAGACAAAATGGGTGAGCATCGTTGGACTACAGAAATTCAATGTAGGCTAAAGAGACGAAATTCTCTTAAATGCCGAAATATATTTGTCGATATTCGTGGAGACCTCTTGATTCTGCCAAGTCGCTGTAAAGTAAAGCATGCAATGGTTTTGGTAAATGAGCCAACGAAGGTATTTAGGTATTGTCCTCCACAACACACTCCTGGTGTCTCCGAATGAGGCTTTGACGCAATATAATATTGCCAAACCGCATCCATAGGCCCAATCGTCACACGACAGCTCGGTTTAGTCAATGGCGCGATGTATGTAATTGCACACTTAAAAGGTTTACGCACGAGGCGAATGTTGGCTGGCGACCAACTTTGTTGAAAGCGATTAGTTGAAAGTAGAATGCAAACGCCTTTTTATGGCGAATATTTTTATATTTTTTTATATTTTGATATTTTTAATCATTCAAATTTTTTTTTCGGGCAACCCGGCGAATGGTTAATATTCTGACAGTTGTATAGTCTCCCCTGAATATTAAAAGTGCGACATCAAAGAATTCGAATTACCATATTCGAAACAATCGAGCCATATCCGCGAAGGAAACGTAAGCTCCAAATTTTTTTATTTGCCGTTTTTTTTTTTGTTTAATAAATACTGCATATTTTCCACAAACAAATAGCTTCTTCATATCCATCATCTGTCAAACAAATACAACAAAAAAAAAAGCTGAAAGTGGACCATCCATTCTCGAGTTATGCGCCATCTGACGTACGCAAGTTGGGTATATACATAGAAATATTTATTTTCAATAACAATCGGGGGTTATATTCGATGTAAATAAGCTTGTTTAAATTAAATAATTAAATCAAAATCGTTTTTGTTTTAAAATACCTCCATTCACTATTATCCACACCTTTTTATGGAATTTAGCTCCCATTTTAGGAAGTGTGATTGAATTCTTCCCCTTTTTCCCCTGCTTCCATAAACCATCCCTGTGGGTGGGAGTGCCAAATTTTAGAAAAAAGCTACTTACAAAACCTTTAATAATTGAATCATGACTTCATTCCAACCTTTTTTTTCTTTTGTTTTGAAAAATTATAAAAATTTAATTTTGCGAAAACAAAAAGCAAAGCCAAATAAAAGAAAGAGAATCAACATTGAGCATCGTCAAAACAAAAATAAGGTAGCACGAATTTTGATGTGAAGCAAAACTCTCTGGGAAGACAACCTGCCTTTCCTGAGTTTCGGCAAAAAGTAAATACATGGAAACCAAAAGTGAATAGTGAACCGGTTCGGGGAAAATGAAACTCATGATAAGGCCCATGATTCAATAATACAAGGCATGATTCAATCATCATGAATACAAGGTTCGATAAACTGACAGTTATCTCTCTCGCACCGCTTCCTTAACAGTGGCACCGTGTTGCTTCTTTGCAAATTTACTTGGAAAAAGTGTAGCTTTGGTGTGAAATAGGACTACAAGCTTTGTGCAATATCAAGGCGAATTTATACAAGGTGGTGTTAACAGAACAAAAACAAAAATTACAATAATAAATTATACGCTCCTTGACAATCAGTACAAAGCCAAATTACAACAAACACATGATTTTGACAAAAGGTACAAATTCGCCGTGAAATCAGCGGATCCGATAACACCACCTTGTATAGATTCGCCTTGTGCAATATGTTTATTTGTATATGCATATGAAGCACATTTAACTGATGAAAACATTGTTTTTAAATTCGATGTTTACAAAAATCTCACGGTAGTTTTATTTTAATTCTGAGTCATTTTGCGTTTTTTATACAGTTAAATAGCACATAAATTACGTAATTCACATGGATATATTAATATTTCGCTCAATATTTCGTTTAAAATACCAGATTTAATGCCAATACATTCGAATTTATAAAAGGAATTTCAACTAATTGCCTACTTTGCGTACTTTTCTACTACCATTTTCGCAACAAGAGATTCCATTTTACCACTTTCTCGCCTTTCTCGCCTTGTTTACAACAAAACACACCATTTTAACCAAGGCGAATTTATACAAGGTGGTGTTGATGGCGAATTAAATTTTCGCCGCGGTACTACTGGATGTCAAAATGATGTGTTTGTTGTAAACATGGCGAATTCATTTTACAACAAACACATCATTTTGACATTAAGACGTACCTCGGCGAAAATCTAATTTCGCCATCAACACCACCTTGTATAAATTCACCTTGATTTTAACATTAGGAAGTACCGCGGCGAAAATCTAAATTCGCCAAATATGTTCAATAGTCAAATACCGCGATCAGCTGTTTCTGCTAGTTTTTCATTTCTTTACTATTTCTTTATTTCGCTCTCTTTAAGCGTAATTTTCTCAATTTTCCTATTTTTCTTCTTCCTGATAACTATCTGTTAGAACAGAAAAGAAACAAAGCTTTTGTATTATTGAATGATGAGTTTCTCTGTGCTTTGCCATAATACAAAATATCTGGCAGCTCCGAAGTCCGATATTCAACGACGAAAATTCACCAATGTATACAAAACAATTTTCTTTACAACACAACAACGAATGTTGATGGAATGCAAAAAAAACGTGAACAGTGTTGCCGAAACAATAAATACCTAGCGAAGATTACCATAGGACATTTTTTTTCTTCTATCGTCTTCTAAAGGCCGAAAAAAAGCAACTCTGAAGAACGAAAGTCGGATAAATGAGAACGAAGAATAACAAATCGGGAAGAATAGAAGAAAGAAGTGTGGTTATTTAGCTAAACTTAAAATTTTTCGCATAAAAAAGTAATAAACAAAGTTTTTTTCACGTTCGCGCTTAAGAGAATGTAAATAACATTTACAGAAATACAAATTGTAGAAAGTAACAAAGAACGGAATAAAATAACAAAGAGTGAAAGCAGTTCATGGAAACAAAAAGGGCGCCCCAATTTCACCTACATCAGGCTCTGTTTTTAGCTCTTTAAAGTTCGCGGAGTGGAGCGGCATTGGAACTTCAGCAAGATCAGTGGAAAATTATTAAAGTGAAAGCAGAGGAAAGCAGTTGTAAAAAAAAAGCATTTCAAGATACCTGGTACAAGCAGTGGTGGAAAACGGCAAGGGCCCACTGCGGAAATATCAATATTGGGAATAGCTGTAACATTATCAGTGGTTGCTACCAGTACTTGATCGGTGGATACGACGAGGGCACACAGCAGCAATATCATCAATATTGGCAATAACTGTAATATCATCAGTGATTGCCGTCAGGTCTTGATTGTGCGCGTTGGCTGGCGTAGAAGTACAGAAGAATTGGGTAAAAGTAAATGCAGGCAGGTTTATGTGATATTTTGTTTTCCTTCCTATTAACTTTGATTGAGTTTTGCTAACATTAGTACATTTTTAATTCTTACCTTAAATTGAGCTGTTTCGCCGTAATTTAAAATATAGTTTTCCTTCAATGCATATGGTAGCGAATAAAGGAATACAAATTTCCACTTTTTATATGGATGCCCAACATATTGAAAGTTCCACTGTGGTTGCCCTTTGTAAACTTTTGCTTACGTACATATGTAGAGGCACAGAAAATCTGGTGATTTTAAAATTATTTTATTTATTTATGTTTATGAAAAATATTAAAAGCTTTTGACATGAATTCATTTACCAACTTGAATTCAGAAGACATGATTCAAATTTTTTTTCCATTTAGTGATTAGAGAAGAGTCGCTTCTTGACAACATTACTTCATTGTTACACAAAGATACTATACTATACTGCTCTACACCTTTTCCAACAGTATTTCAGAAAAACACAAATGTATTTCGGAAAAGGCAAAATTAATTTCAGAAAGGCACAAATGTATTTCAGAAAAGCTCAAATGTATTTCAGAAAAGGGCAAATGCATTTCAGAGAAGCTCTTATGTATTTCAGAAAGACCAAAGTTGGACCAAATGTATTTCAGAAAAAGCCAAATGAAATTCAGAAAAACAATTGTATTTCGTATCAAACGTATTCTTAAAATATGTTTCTGAAATACATTTGTGCTTTACTGAAATACAATTGTGTTTTTCTGAATTTCATTAGGCTTTTTCTGAAATGGGTTTGGCCTTTTCTGAAATACGTTTGAGCTTTTTTGAAATACATTTATGTTTTTCTGAAATACTATTGGAAAAGGTGAAGATGGATGGTGCGCCTTATAGTCTACCATTGTTTTTGTTGTTATAAACGGCATACAATTTCCCCAAAGAGTTTCTGGGAATCAGCTGGGGTGACAGTCTTTGGCCAGATATGGATCTGGATCGTTCCCATTATGTAGACCCGACTGTCGTAGGTCGACCTTCTACTTAGCACGCAAGTTATGATTCGGGCTACTAATGATTAGTATGTGTTTCTCTAAAGTAGAAGGTTGATCAGAAAAACTGTCGAGAATTGTAGCATTCTTTACAAAAAGGGGGCTTAGATCACAATGTCAAGAAAGAGGTTAGATATTTAATCGTATTCTAAACTTGAATTCTAATTGGTTTCTAATGTCTAGTGTTTTTCTAATAATTTTCTAATCGAATTCTAACATAGTTCTCTGAACGGATTTTCGATTCGAGAACCACATAAGGATTCTATAGTGAAATCCAAGTTTTCTGTAATGTTGATGACTGTGTTTGCTTGAATATTCTCTTGTAAATGAATAGGTTGTTAATACTAAAAGCTCTAAAAAGCTCCAGCTCAAAACAATCTTATAAACCTCGCAGTCATTCTCTCAACAATTTACAAAAATTTCATTGTAATCGGATGAACCGTTAATTTCTTCATGATCCAATAATCGGATCTAAGCCAAATTAGTATGGGACCACACCTACGGCACCAACTTTCCGATAGAAAGAGTTATCGAAACCGGTTGGCGTGGTCAAAAGTTATGCGGTAACATACATAAACAAAAATCCAACGAATTGATAACCTTCTCCTTTTTTGAAGTTTGTTACCAATGAAGGATCTATAAGATAAGCGTTCATTTGGAGAAAGTTTTTGGGGGTTTGATCCCTGTTCTGAGCAACATCTAAATCAGAAAAATGTTGTTTTCCAATACCAGTTGCCCTTCGGCAGGCAAACCTCGAAGTGGAGTTTTGCCTTTAAAAGTCTTCTCAATAACTCAATCCGGAGGCGGAGGAAAATTGTAGGTCAAATTGGAAGAGAAGCTGCGCCAAACACTTAGCAAAAAGTGTCAGCGTCAAAATATTATTATTATTGCATTCAATCATGGCCGTATCTAAAATTTGTGTGCTGCAAAGCTATTACAAAACTTAATAAAAAACTAAGGTTTTGAAATAAAAAATTTCCAGGGTTTAAAATACACTGAAACTAATTTATTTATGTAATTGTTTTTAATTCTATTAAACCGTTTTGAATAGTCCACCGCTCTTTGTAAAGCTTAATTACGAAAGTTAGGGCTTTTCTATATTAAGGTAAACAAAGAGAATTTATTTATGGAAAATTTTCGTCCGCTTGTTTAAATCTTTTTGTTTTGCATTTGTTGCTTGTTTATTTGCTAACCACTATCACATACATAAATCATGTTAATGAAAATAATATTAATCAAAACTTTATTAATATTTTGCAGAGACGCTTATCATCAGGCGGTTATTATGAAAGGTTATCATTTTTCAACATTTACAAAAAAAAAAATTGTATCTAAAATTAGTTCTTATGCGACAAATAACTGAGAAATCCCATAATCGATCATAAACATTTTCAATGCGTAGTTATTTGTCTATTTAAGTTTATTACTACTTTCCCACCATTTTTTAAGTTGTATTTGTTTTGCATTTGCCTAAAATGTAAATTATTTTGTGTTAATACACAAACTTTAACTTCGCGTGCCTAATCGTTTTGTAATTTTTTTGTCACTCAATTTTATTCGCAATCAAATGTAAACTTTTCTGCAAAAGATACAATGCTTTATCTATTTTTAATTTTATTATTGCGCAGGAACTTTGTACAAAATGTCTCGTAATAAGGAGAAGTACGAGAGTGCAAATAGACGACAACAGATTTTCATGTCCGCAGAAGATGTGGCTGCTGGAAAAAAATCGTCTTGGACTGGTATTGAGATAACAGGTATATACGTTTATACCATGTTCTGACCGACAACGAAAACACTTTGAAAACGGGTTTTTGCTTACGTCCTTTGATTACAGTTTTTTTACACAAAAACAACACCAACATACTTTTCCTTCATTTTCTTTTCATTAGCAACCTTTTAGTTTAATTCTTATTTTACTTTGGCCAGCCAATTAACAATAAATTTGAAATAGCGTATTAAAGAAGATAAAATATGACTTTCACTTCGATAAATAATGGAAAAAAATTAGTGCAGACACCAATTGGAATGAATGGAGCGTGAGTTTTCAAGTAGTTTTCAAGTTTTAGGTCGAAAACCAGTTTTAGCAACGAAAACATGTTTTCGATGTCGGTCAGAACATGGTATTAGAAATAAGACGTGCAACTGCTCACCAATCTTTTGTTTATATAAGCTTTGAACTAAGAATTATATATTTATAATAGTGTATTACTAAAAAATATTTTTTATATTTATTATTGATGTATTTATTTAACTCTAGAACATTAGGCTATATTAACACTTATGTACATTAGACTGCATCACCCCCCATACAAAAAAAAATCGGCACTGTGTTTCCCTTGGAATTATAAAGTCTATTATATTTTAAGACATCCACCAAAATATTTCGGAAAAATATTAAGATTTACGTGAGCTGGACCGATTTGAAAATGCCTCCAAAAATGGAGTGTTTTATGAATAAAAATAGTTTCTTAAAGATCTTTTTTTGAAAAAAATCCTCTCAAATGACAAAACGAGTTAAGCTAAAAAATTTGCATAAAAATATTTAAAAAAAAAATGTGAACGGAAACGTAATAATGAGATTTTTGATGCTGTTTTTTTAAATTTTTCAAAGACTGGTATAAGAAAAACTTGAATAACTGAACCTTATTTCTTCCGATTTAGACTTGGGAGGTATCATTGGAAAGGTATTTTATTACCCTTTTTATTTCTTTGCTAATGATCTCATTCTAAGGATGAAAGAGAAGGGTAGGATGAACGAACGTCATTCAAGGTTGAATTAATATGTGTTGGTATTTGAAAAAAAACGTGGGACACGAATGACTTTTTTTGCACAGAAATAAAAATAGTGGGAAAATACCTTTCTACTGAGATCCCATAAGTCTAGATCAGAATAGTTTTGGCCCAGTTATTAAAGTTTTTCCTAAATCAATCTTTGGAAAAAGTAAAAAAAAAAATGGCATCAAAAATCTCATTATCACGATTCCGTTGAAAAGTTTTTTTAAATATTTTTATGTTTTGTCATCTGAGGGGACTTTTTTCAAAAGGTTCTTTAAGAAACTATTCTATTCCATTTTAGGAGGTATTTTCAAATCGGTCCAGCTCACGTAAATCTTAATACTTTTCCGAAATATTTTGGTGGACGTCTTAAAATAAAATAAATTTTGTAATCCCGTCGGAAAAACCGCAACTTTTTTGGTGATGCAGTCTAATGTATATGTTTTTTTGTAAAACCCATTTAATAAAATTTCTTTAAATTTTTGCAGGTTGTGTTCGCAACATCAGTCCATCATTGTGGGAATTCGAACACCTAACAGCATTGTATCTTAACGACAATCAGCTGTTACGTTTGCCTGCTGACATTGGTTTGCTATCTAATTTGCGCACGTTAGACTTATCAAGCAATAAGCTGCGCAGCTTACCAGCTGAATTGGGCGAGCTAATACAGCTGAGGTAAGTAACTTACTGTACTTACTGTTGAAAATCTTCTAAACGAGGGTGGAGTACGTGTTTAAGTAGAAAACGCATATCGACACCTGAGTGAAAGATCGACATATCTTGGCAGCCAGTTCGAAAGCGTCCTATCCCAGAAAACTTTTCAAGACTGCCCTATTTAAGAATTTGGTTGTACAATGTCCTGTCTCAGAATTCGTATCAAAAACGACCTATCTTAGCTGCCCTATCGCAGCACATTTTCAGTTGATATAGGGCGTTTTTGAACCGAATTATGAGATAGGGCGTTCTTCAACGAAATTCTGAGATAGGGCGTTCTTCAACGAAATTCTGAGATAGGGTGTTTTTCAATCAAATTCTAAAGTTGAACACTCTTGAAAATTTTTCTGAGATATGGCGTTTTCGAACTGGCTGCCGAGATAGCTCGATCTTCCACTCAGGTGTTGATATACAATTATCCAAGTGTAACGATTATTCTTGATCGAAAAATAAATGTTTAAAGTTATTCAAAATTTACGTTTTTGGAGATTTCTTGATACGCATAATAACCTTGATATTTAGAATCTTTTCAGTCTAACAGATAACTAGACTCCAAAAAATGCCGAAGATAGTGCCTTTTATTCTTAATTACGTTTTCTCACAAAATTGAAATTTTTATTATAAATAATAGAAAGTTTCAAAATAACGATAATTTTCGAACCCAATTTTTAATAACTCGCGAATATTTGGGATTATATGTGTTCCTGCATAAATATGGATTATGTATATCGCTAGTTTAGAATGAAAAGTTATAGTGAAAAAATACAAAGTTTTAGGAAGCTAAATTTTAATGTAGGAAGCATGGAAACCCTGCAAACCAAATTTCCCGAAATATTAACGAAATCTTTAGGAGTATCTCATTTCTGTAAAGTTTTTTTTACGAATCTTCAAAGAATATTATATGAAGTGGTTGACACGAACTCGTAAAGAAATTTCTGGACGGAAAAATAAAGAAAATTCTGAAAAACTTCTGCGAGAAAATACTTCACATAGCAGCGTTATTTTCATTGCTTTATATAAATTTAGAAAATTTGGCAAACAACTGGGTTCTTTAAAGCTTCTCTTCAACCCGGAATATACTGAAAAAAAGGTTTGCAGGGAAATTAGATACTCGCTGTATATATTTGTATTCAGTAAAATGCAAATTTACTATGTTCAATGAGAGCACAAAAAATTCGATACGTCCAAAAATGCAGCAAATTTTCATTTAGGTCGGTGTTATGCAGACAAACTTTTGTTTGCCAAATTAAATGGCGGCTGCTTAGTTTGCTCGGAGGTGGTTATGTCGAGTTTGGCACAGGGTTGCACGTTCATTATGGTTTTCATGGCTATTGCCAACACGAAATGAGAATTTCAGATGTACATAACGCGCATAATTTAAAATTTTTGTATATGACAACACCGAATTTGCTGCAGTTTGACCCAACAAAAGGTGCGTTCGTTTAAAATCTCCAACAGAAACCAACCAACTGCCAAATTCCGGCGAAATGTCATCTGTTCGCTCACAAGAGAGAAATATCCAAAATAGTACGCGAACAGAAAATTTGCAGAAACTTGCAAGTTAGACGAACAGCTGATATAATTTTTGTTTACATACAAAAGTGTAAAATTTAAAACGTACGAAAAGTCATCGCAAAGTGTTACACTGACACAGTTTATTGATTAAACGAATAACTACTTATTTCTTAGAAGTTTAATTAGTCGCATTTTGTAATTTTTATCTTCCATCCCATCAAATTCAATTTTGTGATTTGCGTAAATGCCAACCAGCTGTTTTTGATCAGCTGTTTTCCTGTTGGCAAATTGCTGTTGGCAAAAATTTTTCCAACAGAAACTAACAGCTTCCCCTCAAAATGAAATGTCACTTTGCTCTCTCAATTTCCCCTACTTTGCAAGTTTTTTGCGTACGCGAACGCAAAAACCTGTAAGTTTTGGTTAAACATGAACAATTAACAGCTACGCGAACGAACCTAAAATTAGTTTGCTGTGAGAGTCGCCAAACTCGCTCTCTCCGAGTTTGCTACAACAACAATTGCACGCAGTTTGCCAAACAAAATTTCTGCATAACACCAACCTTACGTACAAGAATGATAGAATACAAGATTGCACCGATCAGAGAGAGAGAGAGAGAAATGCCAAAACGTGAGCAACAATGGAAGAGGAAGAAAAAATGGTGCAAGGAAAACGTAAACAAGTTGCACAAGTGTGACGTCATGCAAACAACGATTCTGTCAAATTCGTTAAGAGAGGAATAGCGGTCCGAGATAGGCGCAACCTTTGTATTCGGACCGGTTCTGGTTCTAAAAAAAGTGGTAGAGGAAATAGGCCCTAGCGAAATAGCTTAACAAATGTTTTTATTTATTTATTTATTCATTCATTTACCCTACATCGTTATTAACTAGTATAATTAACCTACGTATAAATACATAAGTGAAAGGTAAAAATTTAATTAAAATGCCTTAAATTTGTACGAAAGACTAATAACGAACCCCTAAAAAGTAAATGTCTGCACAGCGACTATAGTCTGTATTAGCTATTCGATTCCTTGTTCCGTAGCACATAAGTTTTTGAAGTTTTTATTGTACCTAACAACCTTTTAGATATCAAGTCCGGTTTATTACAAACTAGCCCAATTTGTTCCAGGATTTCCGGGGAATCGATTTCGCCGTTAATGATATTATAAAAGAGGACTAAACAGCGTATAGACTTCTTCAATGCTCATACTAGCTCTCCTTCGCTGCAAAAGATATGAGATGTGCTTGCATAGTTTATATTGTATTTTTCCAGTTTACTAATTTGTGTGTTTACAAAAAACTGCATAATTTATTAATTACCTAGTTCTCGGGAATTTGAAATCTTTATTTTAAATTAAAGTTTAATTCTTTCACTACACTTGTATGTTAAAGTTTTTAAACTCGGGTCACGCGTTTGGACACATATACCCAACATCATTGTACAAATAACTAAACCGTTCCGTATTTCTTAAACTTCCATAAAGTTTATTAATGAGGAAAATAGCTTTTCCTGCAAATGCTGTAAAACCTACAAACCGTGAAGCATCAGGAACGCAACTTCTATTCATAAAATTCACATATGTACATACCTTTCATCTTCAAACTCCAAGGGATCCGACGAATCTCGCAATTCCCTCCTTGCTTTAGCTAACTCTACTAATCTATTAGCTTACACATCATATTCCTCATCACTAAACCATATTTCAACTGTATCCATTTTTTAAATTTTATTATTATTATTTTAAAAATTATGTAAATGAAACACTAAAGAAACAAATGTAAACAAACAAACAGCTGTTTACAATTCAATCAACCATTCACAATAGTACAAATTTTTATTGATCAAGTTACACAATAGCAAAATAAAAGATGATCGACTCGATCGACAAATTTCTATTCTACTGCCAGTCGACACTCGCCTCTTATTTCACGAAAAAAAAACAAGGAAATCATTGAAAATCATTTAGCAATAAACATTGTTTTTCCCATAAAATACTGGGTGGCATTCCAGAAATATTTCTGTAGCCCATTCAATTGTAGTCTAAGAAAGTGCAGGTCTCAAGTCGTTAAAAATTACCGTTGATTTTTTAGATTTTTTTTTGTTTAGGGTGTCGCGGAACACCCCCAGCCATATGAAAGAATAGGAGTATTCTCCAAATCTTGCAAAGCCATTTCACGTAGCACGGATTGCATGGATTGCATAACTTCCAAACACACAACAACAAAATACATGGGAAACAACATTTCCTATCGCTGAAAAATATGCAACGTCGAAATCCGTGTACATATTTAGCAAAATAGCATAGCAAGATAAATGCGACCCTGTGCTAGTTGTTTTGTTGTTGGAATTGCTACATATTTCTCTCATTCCTCTCATCTCGCTCATTTAATTTTTTTTTTTGCTGTCTCTTGTTATTGTATTTGATACATAATTTCGCTGCTTCCACTTTGCAATGGGGTGCTCTCGTCCTCTTCGAAATTTGGAATAGTATTTTTGCATTTCATTCAATCCGTGCATCGTGCAAGACTCGAGAATCCCCCTAATATTTAAGTACGCATTTTTCATGTTAAGGTTCAATTAATACAAAGTAATGTATCCATTTAAAAATATGATTTTTTCGAGATTGGCGCTCCTGAGGAATAAAACTAGCAAAACATTTAATCCAAAGAAAAAAAATTTTAAGGTCAACTCAAAACTTCATAATACGCACATAAACCGAATTTAAAGTCGATAGCAAAGAAGTAATTTTTAAGCAAAAAAAACCGACTTCAAATCTCATATAAAAATTTAGGAGTTCCGTTAATTTTTTCATGAATCCAATGATCGGATCTAAACCAGATTAGTATGGGACCACCTCTGAGACACTACCTTTCCGATGCAAAGAGAATTTTTGAAATCGGTTGACGTGGTCCATACATAAAAAAAGAAAAAAAAGAAGAAAAGAATAAAAAAAATATATTCCGACGAATTCATAACCTCCTCCTTTTCTTGAAGTCGGTTAAAAAAAAAACGAAGTTGATGTAAGTCGGCCAGATCGCTTATATGGCGGCTATATGATATAGTGCCTTGAACCGAACAAAATTTGGTAGGTCAACTAGAACGTAAGCGTAAAAAGACGTAAGCGACATTTTTTTTAATTTTCTCTTACGGCTCGTTATCTAAAACGAATTGCGGGCCGCACAAATTAATGTTTTGTCCATAGCGCAATGGGTACTTCGGGGCCGTTTTCGCTTCTTTTGAAATAGTTTTGCAGTTGTTTGGACTTTTTTTTTATTGGTTTTTCTGAGATCATTTTTCGGTGCTTTTGAACCAGTATTTCGCGTCATTTTAAAATCGAGTTTCGGTTTCGTTAGACCCGTTTTTCGGTTCTTGTAGAACCGGTTATTCGCCTCCGGTTCCTCTGTTCTGTGCAACACTAATATTTACATACTACAATAGAAACTCGTCCATTGTACATACTAAATATATACACACATATCTGTGGCATTTTATTAAAACAACTTAAGTGACTTCAAAAGGATTTTATTTATTTTATTTTATTTATTTATTTTTTACAGTCTGTTAGACTTATATTGCAACAAAGATTTAACATTCTTATAATTAGATTTTAGATTTAAAATGTAAATATTAAATATTAAATACAAAATACAAAAGATTGACTTTGAATTAAAAAATTATAAGTTCCCCTAGAGACATTTTCTATTTTTATTAAGCTTCTATTAAAATGGCATCTTAAACTACACCTATGGCTAGTAAATCCTTAAAATATTGCTTGGGACCCCAATGAAATATTGCTTTAAAGGAAAAATGGCCTACCTTGAGATAAGTTGTTTTAATAAAATGTATGTTTATGTACATATGTCTCTTTTTGTGCTAAGCTAAATTACACACATATTTCATAACCTTTTTTCAGAGAACTTCTGTTGAACAACAATTACTTGCGAGTTCTACCCTATGAAATCGGCAAACTTTTTCACTTGCACGTTTTAGGATTAATGGGAAATCCATTGCAAAAAGAATTTCTATCCATCTATAACGAACCAAACGGCACTCAAAAACTTTTAACATACATGCTGGACAATTTATCAGGTAAGTGTTTAAATGTAAGACCACAACCAGAGTGCCGATCTCATAAGCAAGTTAAAACGAATTGAAAAAAATATATACATACATACATTTTTAAGAAATTGTATAAATTAATAACGACTCACAGCGGTCAGTTTTGGCCAAAACCCCATAACTCGTATGTATTGCAATGAAAGAAGTGCATAGATTGATTTTTGTCTATATTTTTTTTTGCGATATTGCTTTGCTCCGGGCTTGAACCCAGACCCTGCGGATTGGAAGCGTGTACAGCCTACCACTACAACACAGCGACCGCTATTGGTAATATGTGAAATTTGTGACTTAAATAAACTCTATTAGAGTCGTTCAGAAATATGGCCCTTTGAGCTTTTAAGTGGCTTATAGCCTTATGCTGAATTTCCACTAGGCATTAAATCACAAATTTTTTAATGACAATGTAGAGTATTAAAAAATACCATTATATTCGCAAAATTGTCATTATATCTGTTTCCATGTGGCATTTTTTAATAGCATAAATTCTTTGTCATTTTAATGCCTAGAGGAAGTTCGGCATTAGCATCTTCTCCCTCCTGCAGTCATAATTTTTGGTTGTCAAAAATCGTAAATTTATTAAAATTTCTAATTCTCATTTTGAAGGACACGATAAATAAAAAAATTCAAATTAATTTCAAATGGCAACATCAAATGAAATTGGTAGTTAATCCAACAGTTAAAAATATAAATATTCTGAAAATCTTTAAAGCAAGTATTAAAATGGTGCAAATGGACGTGTTGTCTACCACTTAACGTCCAAATTTTATTGATAGCAACAAAAAAATGTTTCTCAGCATGAGAATTTCGAAAACCCAACATATATTAAGACCAAAAGTATACATATAACACATATAATGGTATTTCAAAAAACTCTAGAAATGCTTAATTCACCTAAACGCTCACCTACCTATTGTCACTTTGTCAAATTGAGATCTAAGGTGTTTGTTTTTTCTATTCAAGGGGCCAAAATATACATATCGTTTCCTTAATATAGAAAGGCCCTAACTCATTTTCTTTCAAAATCCTGCTTTGCACAAGAGTGAGTAAAAATAATTGCTGCATTATTAATTTAGTTTCAGTGTTTAATGAAAACCAGGGCTTTGATAAAATTCGCAACTGTGGATCTTCGGTTTTTATAAAGCTTTATAAGTGCTCTGTAAAATACAAAAATGTTAGGTAGGACCTTTCTATACAGAGGCAACGATATGTAGATACTAGTTTGTGATTTCTTCCTTAGCCACACCACACTTTTCTTTTGGCTTTATAAAAAAAAAGGTTTCTAATTTTTAAAGAAATAATTAGTATGTATTGCAAAAACATCTGAAACTTACAGCAAGTTTTTTAATCTTTTACTTCGGATATTGTGTCATTAGAGGGGTAAAAACTACAATAAAACTGTACCAATCGTTAATGAAGAAGTCTAAAGAAAATTTGATAAATCGCTTCGATTCTGGCAAACGAAATATGATACTGGAGATGACACAACGCCGAAATCAGTTCTCCTCCAAGCTAAACTTCCCTACTCACGACTTGTACTACATAGATTACATGAACTTTTTTGCTTTTGTAATATGTACCGGATTATTATTCCCTTACCAGGATCTGAGTTTCAATAAACACTCAGCGCTATATAAATTTTATTAATTTGGCAAACGATGAAGGAGGAAGAGTCGCAATTTACGGTTACATATCGTCCTAAGCATTCAGAGCTTAAAAAAAAACCGAAATGAAAACGAAACCATTGGTCTCAGCACACTAGTACTTTTTTGATACCCTCATGTTCGTGCATTATTGCTATTGTTTTTTTTTTTTTTTTGTATCATTACTGTCGCATTTGTTGCAAATTGTAACATTATTTCATGATCACTTTTCTTTAATGTTCAGCATAAGATCCCACTGGGAAAATAGGTAAGCACCTTGCGAGGTAAGCCATGTTTTCTTTCAGTTTTTAGTACCAAAATTGTCATCATGGCCAATGTCATCTACTAGTAAAGGGCAAAATGAACACCTCCGAAGACACATTACGTTGTCAGTTGCAAAATAACGTGCAGCCGAAGTTATTTCCAAGCACCGAACTACTCCGAGCGACTGCTCTGCATTACACGTAACTTACTTTGTAAAGCGGCTCAGAAGTATGTCTGATACCAAATGTACATTCTAAATTCCTACTTACATAAGGCGGCCATGCCTTTGTAAAAGTAAGGGACGTTCGGAAGGGAAATGGTAATGACTGCCAGGTGAAGAGTAAGTTGCTAATAAGGTATTATTACGTGCTCCTAATTCCCACTGGGATTTATTGTAAATACATATGTATGTATGTATGTGCACACATACATATAGTGCATATACTGTCTGCATTCACTATGACCGTTGTGGTTACAAACTAGCCACCATGTCCAGCCATTAGCGTAGAAAGGTGCCATCTCCCGAAGCCGGTTGGAAAATGTTCACACATACACACATATAAAAATATGCTGTGACGCACTTGTCGCTGGATTGGGCGGTCAGTAACCATTTGTTAACTGCGGTGCGGGCATGTTTTACTTTTGCTTTGCTTCGTATCGCACTTTTGGTCATTCATTTTTTGTGTCTGCTATGTTAGCCTGACTGATTGCGTAGGAACAGCGAAAAGAGAAAGTTTCCTTGCGAAACATTTCAATCACTGTTAGAGTGCCGCAAGCTGCTGTAACACGACACAAACTTGTCTACGTTCGAAGGCGTGCGTACATACTTACATTTGCATATGTATGTAGACAATATCTGGTGGTTAGATTAATTAGTTTTGTTGAAGTTAAAGCCGTTTTCATCCCATAAAACGGTTTATTACTGAAAGCCGGCAGGATGCAACTTCAAATAAGTAAAGTAATTAAATAAGCATTGTCTTTTTTTCATACAGAAATCCAGCAACGACAACTTTTATAGTATTGGCTGTAATATCCAAGCGACATTTATTGCTCTTCCTAAATCAAATGACCTTTGCAAAAAGGATTTAAGGATTTAAAGAACAAAAGAACATAGAAAATGTTTACCCTTGCCTTCAAATTTTGTGTTTAAAGTTCGAAGAGTTCTAATTTAAATTTTGACGGGATAGATTGCTTTCCCAATCAGATGCTCTGACATCCGTAAAATGCTAAGATTTCAACGCAGCGACAAGAAATAACCTGCAGTGAAAACCCAAACTAGTTAGAAAAAATACTAGTTCATTAACTAGTATGTGCCTACCAGTTTGAAAATTTCGAAGAACTCAAGCGTTCAGCGACATCTGCCTTTGAATTGGCAAAGCCTTAAATAAAACGCAATTAATTGCTTTTCTTAAAAATGTCGGCTGAGGCGTCACGTGAAGACTATTGGTTATGGTTCTGAGATCGTAGGTTTGAGGGCGCTTGGAGGTGGTAAATATTTTTAAAGTCAAATCAATGTAAGTAAAAATAATTATTTAAATTTAAATATATAAATAACTAATTTGAAAATCTAGTTGCATTACTTAAAAAAACAAACATATGGGAAGAAATGCTTGTGCCATAAAAAAAAAAGAAATTAAAAAAATATGTATATATAGGAATTACAATAAAAATCTTAAATTAAAAATATAAATAAATAAACAAATTAAAAATAATATTCAACAATTTTTATTGAGCTCGAAGCCGTTTTTTAATGAAAATTTATTGTAGAAATACAACAATCATTTGAAAAAATGGTAGAAGTGATACCTATTTCGGAAATCACTACATTTCCTCATCAGACTTTTCTCAGTAGGCTTCGAAATAAAAAAAAATTTTCTGGGCTTGAACCTGGGACCTTAGGCATACCACGCGAGTGCTTTGCTCTATCGGCCATTGCGACTGTTGGAGCGCACGCATCATCACGGGGGGTGAATTGGCAAACTATCTCATCAACTGTTATGTTGGTACTAGTATTTCTATTAGTAGATGCTGATGCATAGCTTGGTAATTGACATCTCGTCGGACATCGCAATGTTAAAAATATCCGTTGCTAACATTAAAAAATGATAGAACGCGAACTAGTTGGACTGAAACGCAAACTGGTAGAATTCTAATTCATAACTAGCAGCTTTCCCTGCAGGGTAGTAACTATTTTTATTTCGCAGTTTTATAACAGAGGTTTATAGTCAAGGATCCAAAATATATCCCTATAAAAGAATATTGCCCGAATAATTCAAAAGAATATAAATTATTGTACATGCTTTCTATTTGTATGTCTACTAGTTTTATTTTAAGATTAGTCCATAAAAGCATTATATCGAAAGAAATAAATGCATCTAATGGAAGCGCAGAAAAAAAGGCTATGTTCTATTTGACGTAGTCAAAAATCCTGCCAACTGATAGATCGGTTATATAGCTTGAGAAGATGTTTAAAGAGAATTTTATCAAAGTTGATAAATCTGAATTTTGTCCGGTTTCATTATACAAATACTCCTGTGTGCAACGCGAAACTTTTGATAACTGCGACGAATATTATTTCCCACTGATTCACAAACTTTTCTGCCTTCAGCGGTTAAAACATGGATGCGGTGTACCAGGCTGACAGACAATTTTTTGGTATGAAGTTTTATAGTTCATTCAATTTCAGTACTAAAAGTGAACGCTTGAAGTGCCTCAAACTTCGCGCTGCTTTTTGAGAATTTTGTTTTGGTTGGAGGCGTTTCGTATTTTCATTCGTTTCATTTGTATTTTTATATCGAAGAAGATGCACAACTTCGAACTTGCACCTTATTATACTGGAATTTAAAAAAATGCATGCCCAAAACTTTTCTAAAAGATCTGATTAAAAAATTTAAATTTTTGAAAGCAAATTTTTGAAATTGGTTGAATTTTCGCGAATTTCGATTTATGTGAATATGCTTTATAAAATACTTTATCCTTATTTGACAATTTAACCCCTTTTTTTGACATTGAAAACAATTGTGTTAAATAAATCTCAGTTCTATTTAATTAACTTGGCAAATTTTTTAATTTCCTTTTGAATGCAGAAGAGTTTGATGCATTTCTGCGTCAAACAGAAAATTTTCAAAAAGATTTCGCCTACTTTTTTTGGCGGTTAGGGCTCGATATGTAAATAAACAAATTTAAAAAAAGTTTTTTTATTGGGAGCGGGAGTAGTGACGGCAAAAAAAAATCTAATAATCGATTAATCGGTTTATTGATTAATCGAAAGGATTCAATTAATAATTCCAATTAATCGTAAGAAATTAACCGATTAATCGGTCGTTTCGATTAAAATCGAAAATTAATACAAACCATTTATAAGTTATAAAACTGACTTACATCTGTGCAAAAATTATAGCGCACCACGAGATTTTTTTTGTTATTTAATTTTAGTTATTTTTTTAAATATAGCTTATTCTTTTGCAAAAAAACGTATAAATATAAATATGTTAAACTTTGTGCAATATTAAAAAAAAAATTAACAAAAAATTCGAACTTTTTAATTAGATTTATTAGAAAGATTTTTAGTATGCAGTTTTGTAGCCCATTAAATTTCTGTATAAAAAATTGCAAGACTGAAGTATCTGGCACTTACCATTGATTTTTATTTATCATTTTTTTTTGTAACGGTGTTGCTTATTTTCTTCCATATAAAAACGAAGATTTTTATCATTTTTTTTTTGTAACTGTGTTGCTTATTTTCTTCCATATAAAAACGAAGAAAATACGGTATCACCGAATTTGGAAAATATAATGAAAATATATGCATACATGCGTTGTGATTTTTTAGTAGCTACTTAGGTTAAACTCGTGTTGTGGTTTTTTGCAAAAATATCGTTTAAAAGTTTGCAGAATACGAGAATGTAAAAGACCTCCCAACTAGTAACATATGTATGTACTGAATGGAGTGAGACTTTTGTTGTTGCTAATATTATTGAGTGATAAGAGTTCCAATTTTCGTTACGTAATTTTTATTCATACGTTGTTGTGTGATGTAGTCAATTTCCGATGGTTTATTTTCGATTATTTTGAAAATTAATCGGTTTATCACTCGATTAATTGAAAGGAAAATTTCGATACAATTAAATCGTTAACCGAATGAAAATAACCGATTATAATCGGTTATTCGATTAATCATGCCATCACTAAGCGGGAGTGGAGCAAGAGCGGAGGTCGGAGCGAAATAAAATACCGGAACGGAGCTAAGAAAAATATTTTCTCTATAAAACTGGTCTTATTGGTTTTCAAGATATTCTTCATGCATACGCTCAAACCAATTGTTGAAACTTTTTTGCCGCAATGAAGACGGTACGTCAGCAACATGGTTTTTGAACGCGTTAACAGCTTCCGCGAAGTTTATCCTTGATGTACGGGAACAACCAAAACCGTTCGATGTTAAATCAGGACCAATTCGATGTTTTGGAGTACATTCGGTATATTAATTATGCCCATGAAAACCCGGATTTCAGATTTTGTCTGAGTCTGGGCTTTCTTCTGACTGGACATGGGCCATTCCACGAGTTTTTGCATAAACGGAATCTTCACGATTCAGAGTGTAGCGCATGAAGTGAACAGAGCGAGGATGCCACCAAACGTTGTTTGTGAATGCCTGATGTACTCTGGCATTAGGGATTTATCTGGGATGGGTATTTTATGGACAGATGGACGGTTTATTTTTGACGAGTTGCATTGCAACCGGACGCCAGCCCCAAAGTACGGCTGAGGTTTAGATACACCTCGAACCCAACCAAGGTGGTTAGTGTGTTGATTCCGCACTTCCGATTCTGGGCGTTAAAATGCATCAGACGTTGTCCCTAGGAGACGTTGTACTTCTGCCATTAAAAAACTTCTGATAAAAGCCATTTGCCGGTCGAAGTCAGGGTAAAACTTTAAATCGTTCCATTTGTGTTATATCATCAAGACGCATACCAAAAATTGGAAGAGAAGCTCGGCCGAACATTTGACGAAAATGGGAACGCCAAATATTTGTGTGGCTACATATACTGGGTGACATAGACGACCCAAGTCCATCCCTTCGGAAATGGAGGGAAACATTTTTATTGAAAAATGCAAAAATATGAATTACCAAGTCGGAGATGCTTTGCTTTTATGGTCGTATTACCGACTTCGGGTTTCGAAGTCCTATCTGTCTAGACTATTTTATCGATCACAGGCAACAAGCTTTATGTACCCTTGGAATCAGCCAGCGTCTCTACATGATAAGGTTCCCACTTGTCAATGTTGGTTGTTCCCATGGCCTATGGAATTCTCGCTTCTTCATTGTTTACATTTTTGATATCTATATTCTTCCGATCTTTTACTATGACAGCAAAAGTTCGAGTCCAGAATCAATGCTATCATCCCGGTACGGTCGGTACGGCGGACTTTGTGCGTGGAATTAGGGAGGTGTGCGTTGGTGAAGTCCATATTCTTACCGTAGGTCATCAACCTGGTCGTGTGTCCATCGAATATTCGCTAGGTGGTGATCTCACCACAGGAGAGCTCTTTCACTTTTTGAAAGGAACTAGCCTTTGAACTACCATCGTATTAATGTTGGTGAATGCGCTTGCACCCGTTGTGTGTCTGCGTTCTGAGCTTTGTTTTTTTGAAGGTTCCTCCATACCTGTATTAAGTCGTGGCTTTCGCTTCCGTCGGCCTACTTTGAGAGGCGCTTTTCGTTTTCTATCCATAATTGTTCTCTGAAGTACGCCTGGTATTTAAAGCGTCCCGTTCACCTAGAACTTTTCATGTATGAGAAGTGTTGTCGCAAGGTTGATTAATTTCAGTACAAGGTTTTAGCTTAGTCGGCATGGGTTGTCATGATTCTAGGTCAATAAAACTTCATTTATATATAATTTAGAACAAAAATGCCAAAACTAAGAGAGTACGCATATTGAATTTGGCAAACAAAAATTTTGGAGCACCTTAATATGTAAATCTAACAGCGACAAGGCCTGCAACGCATGACGAGTATCATGTAAGAACCTTCAGCAATGACTGCAAACAAATCTGATCAATGTAGCTTATGGTACATTGCTCTAAGCACTTGCGCATATATGCGCATCCATACATACATATATACATACATATCTACACAACATCCGTCGTGCGTGCTCCACTTTGCCAGTGACGCAGTGAAGAGAGGTGCAATGACGCGTTTGTAACAAGAACTACTCCACTAATACAGACATACTTACATAATTAGTCGTATTATTCCACACTCGTGAATTATTAATTTCGAGACAAGACTGGTACGAGTATTAAAACCCATTGTACATGACCTCGACATGAAAAGCTTCTGATGGACTTTAGCATAATGCTGAAGAGATTACCATGGCAAGCATACAAGTATTGCGCTTATTAAGTACGCGTATGTAGTTGAATAGCCGTGGGTTGAAGTTTAGCTTTAGAAAAGAAGTCAATGGCCATGACAAGGTACGAGCCGACTATCTTAAGCTCTGAGCGCGCTGAGCAAAGTGAGTAATATAGAGGGAACGCAACAGTGAATAGTTTACATTCCATGCACTATATTGAGTGGGGAAATAAGTAAATATACATGTGTGTGAGCAACTCTCACAAAGCTTTGCATTGAAGCGTTCTTCCATGCCAGCTCTCTCAACATTTACAGCTGGCAAGAAAAGCTTTGTGCCATCGATGGCTTAACAATCGCATCGAGTCAGTGTTTGGTTTTACTGGCTCGCCATATTTTCTATTTGTTGCTACTTGTTGTTGGCTTTGCCGCTTCGAGTTGCGCCACAATTTGGTAATACTTGTACAAACCGAAAAAGCGGTGGTACGTAGCAACGGTAGCGGCAACAACCGGCCATGGCTTGTCGCAACATTGACTCGAAGCTAGTGGCTTAGTCTTCGATGAGTTGGGCTCGAAAGCGGTTGTCGTATACGGATCAATTTGTATTTGGTACGCTGTGCACGAATATACGAGATTTTCGTGAGTTCGTTGTATGCGTCGAAGTAAGAGAGGAATTTGTGAAATGTTCAATGGAAATTGACAAGAAAACGCAAGCAGAAATCGATTTTTTACTCAATTGTGTTTTTGGGGAAACTTCGCTTTCATAAAATTATTTACCTGCCCGTGAATCAGTGCATTTCAATTGGTGATTAATGTGTGCACTTTAGCATTCACTGTTGCGACTGCGCAGTGTTGATGCCGTAATTGTGGCAGTGCTGACTGTTGTGAATGATTTTGGCTTTTGGCATCACTCGTTATTCTAAATAAAGCTGCGGTAATTATGCTGGCCAAAGAAAATTAAACAAAAAAAAAAAAAAACAATGAAATACAAAAATAACTAAAGCAGAAAATCGCCTCCAATTAAAGTAGCAACGCTCATTGTTGCTGTGACTTTGTGCGTATCGCGCTATATTCGTTAGTTACGATTTCGGCTAATTAAAATTTGTTGGCCAGTGGACTCAATCGGTGGACCTTGAAACGTACACGCACTAAAGACATGAAACAAATTGTACCGCCCTTGATGCTATCTTGAAACCCTAAAACGTAGAAACAACGAATTTTCGCAAAAAAAAAAAAACAAAAACAAATCGGTTTTCGCATGTAATGTCCTTGTTAATTAAATACGCGTTGAAAAAGTTTGATAATTCATTTAGTAATCCCTTGAAGCATATGTTCTAGATACCTGAAAGATTATGCGACCCAATGTCAGTAGCGGCTGTTGTACGCTAGAAAACGCTGCAAATGCTGCCAGTGTAAGGAATTTGCAAGTATATCCTTTGCCTCCTGGAGCTAATTTACATTCGAATCCGCATTCACATCATCATCAGCAGGCGCAACAGCAACAAAACCACATCCATCGTATTCATTCACAACAGCATTTTTCCCTACAACAACAATTCAAGCCTCAAGCGCCTACCGCGTGGTTTCCACCACAAAGTCTTTATAATGCCGTGCCACATCCGTCAAACGCGAGCAAAGCAGCTGCCAATGGTCGTCATCAAGGAATACCTTTTGTGGCACCACAGCCGCCAGCTTTGATACAAAGCCATGGCCAGCAACTAATCCCAGCAGCGCCACAGTCCCATTCGCACCAACAACACCAGTATCAACAGTACCACTGCAGTCTACAACAGCAAAAACATCAATCTACGCATTTTCCCCAAAAACCCCAATGCGTTTTGCAGTCCACTTCCACCGTTAGTGGCGCTCATCCTTTTAGTGGTTACCTGCCTGCAAATACACCTCACACCCGACCAACGCCAGATCAATTAAGCGTTGGCGCGTCGTCAGCGGGACCACCGCATTCAGCCAGCTTTACCAAGCTAGCATCAACATCGGTGGTTAACCAACAACGCGTCAATGAATGCGCTGGCATACCACTCATCTCAAATTCCACCACACATCTCGCAGCTAACCAGCGACAACGCGTTCAACGCAAGCTGTCTCGCTCGCCTGGACCCCATCAAAAGCTATCAGCTGTTGGTGGCATCGATCCCACCTATAAACCACAGCATCCCTGTGTCGGTCTTTATATGGCGCGTAGCGCAAACGCTGCCAGTTGCTCGCATATTTCCCAACTAGCTGCACATGCTCAAGGTGCACCCTTACTACTGAATAAGCAGTATCAGCAACAACAACAATGTGCTGCTCCAAAATGGCCAATGACGCACAGCACTTCTAATACCTTCCAGTCCGCAGCGTCTTCACACTGTTCACTAAATGCCCAGATGGCCTCGGTCGGAACAGCGGTTAAGTCAAACACTGAGAAAGCTTCTCGTGCTACATTGCGTTACCAACACTCAGCTCCAGCCGCTCTAAGTACTCGCGGAAAAGAGAGTACAACACAGACGACACAAGTGAGCACGGCATCCTCAGAGGCAATTAAACACAGTACCGAGGCTGGAGACACTGCATTACCACGCATAATTAAACCACGAAAACGACGTAAAAAGGATCGTAAGCCCACAACTAACGCCGTTTTACTGAAACTGGATGCAGCCGCTGCTTCTGGTGCAACTTCGGAAATTGCCAGGGACTGCTCGCAAGAAATGCCGGCATTGAATATGCAGCAATCTCAACTGATGTTAAGACAGCCACAAGAATTGCAACGCCTGCAACATAAATCGTACTTGTATCCGCACCAGGACTCTAACGAAAATCTATATAAATTTATAAACTTTTACCTTGGTACTCAGCAGCCAATGGATAATGCTGACAGCACACACGTTTTTAACTCAAATCTACCACTGTTGGACTACAAACCCAGAGGTATACTACCATCGCCGTGCTTGAAGTCCCCAGGCTGTGTGAGTGGAATCAGACATAAACAGTGCGATGCGTCACGAGATGAGCACAGTATTTGTGTTTGTCGGCACTGTGATCCGCTACGTTCAATTTGGGATTACCCTCTGAGGCGCTCGCTCTCTGACTCATCGGCCGCCTCGATACGTACACATTCCTCCTCGTCATCTTCATCGTCGTCTTCATCACAAGCTTCCTCCACTGAGACCGCATCATCCTCCTGTTCGTCGGCGCCGCTGACAGATGGCGCTCTTTCACCTTCAACCGCACTTTCTCGTGCTCATCGTGTGGGCGTTATTGGCTCTAATCGTAATTGTCTGGATAGCAATAGAGATGTGGCTAAACACACCGAAAAGGGTTGCGAAATATTTGGTGGAAGAACTACAACGAATGGTTGCCTTAGCGACTCAAATGACTCGGGTTATGGTGACATACTTAGTGGCATCAACATTGCCGACGATTTCTTCAGCCAGAGCACATACAATATGTCCACTGCGTTAACGTCACTTTTAGCTACAACCCACGAACCAGTACTGGATGTGCGACAATCTGCGGCTGATCAATCAATGAAAACTGCGCAAATGTATGGCTGTGGGACCGAAACGTTGCTGCCCTTGTTACCAGCAACCGCAGATGCATTGTTGACTGAGAGCATCAACGAGATTTCGCGCAAACTCATTGAAACTTGTGGTAGCGAGCTGTCGAACGAATTTACAGGAGCAGCAACACGCTCACAAAGCGCCTATTCACGTTGCAGCAGTGATTTCTCCGCAGATAGTGGCATCGATAGCGCCGCCATCGTAAATTGTGACGAGTTGGTGTTTAAGTTTGACAATTTAAATTTTATGATTGATGTTGCGAAAGATACAGCTAGCGACAACAACAACAACAACTACTTAGGCACAAACAACAGCGAATTGGCTGCTACAGCAGGGAACTCGTTCTCCGAGTTGCTTAAGTTACCTATAACAGCAACTGGACCAGAAACGGCAGAATGCATAAATAAAAGGAATTTTTTCAACGATGCAACAAACCTAAATCTACTTTTCGATTTGAATAATAATGAAAATAGTATTTTTGAATTTGAACCCGAAAACGAACGCGAATCTGAACGCGAACGCGAACGGCTGCGAAAAGCATTACACGAAAAACAACAACAACACGATCAACAATTCATAAATAATTGTTTCGATTTAGTGTGGCCAACAACATTTGAGAACTGCATGCGCAAGACAGTTACCAAAATTTTAGATATGGATGTGGAAAAGCAGTTGGCTGCACTACCACATCCAGAAATTGCATAGATGAAGACAAACGTGAGGCAGGCAATATAGTGCTGCATAGCGAAGGATCAGCTGGAGCTCTGTAAGAGTTTGAGTAAGACGGAGGCTCAGAAGTAGTCCTTCATATTTGTATGCCTTAAAATAAATCTTTGGTTGCCTCTGAACTACATAAGTACCCATTATGCAACCGAAAACATTTGCTCCCTCGTTTGCCGCTTCAGCTCAGTCAGCTTTGTTCGATCCGTGCACGCCGGCAACAGCAAAAAAAGGTTACGCAATGAGATTATTAAGACAGTGAAAACGAGCGTAATGTCTTAAGGGTTAGCCAACAGCCAGCAGCAAGAAATACCAAAAAACAAATTTTATTGGACAAAACAAACAATGAACTGAAACCGAATTACCTTAACAAAAAATAAACACAATAATAGTAATAAAAAATACAACACACAAAGGTAGCAAAAATTGTTGGTTTTGTTGGATCAGTGGATCGTCTGTTGAAAATTTTCATTACAATTGCGACATCGCCTTTTTTTCTACTTCCGTTGTAAGTTGCTGACCAAAAAACAAAAAGCGTGCTTATAAAACCAAAGCAGCACCAAGAGCAGCAAAAACGTTGTAACCATCGCGGAAACGTGCTTAACGCGGCTGAAACAAAATACTGCAGCATATTAGTGAAGCAGCAAGGTAAAGAAAAAAAAAAAACAAAAAATTAAAAGTTGTGAAAAAATTCAAAAATAAATAAAAGCTCAAACACGAATTTATAAAGTAACTAATGCAACAAAAATAGCTTTATTAAAAGCTGAACAAAGCGAACTCACAATGCACCAATACTACCACAATAAAACAATATAAAAAACAATCGTAAGTGTAAAAAGCAAAAGTATTTTCAAAATCGCTATTGGAGTACCCCAGGGATCCAGCACCACGAAGTGCCACAGCAATACGAAATCAACAAAAACAGCTGTAGCAAAAACAAAAGAAAAGCCAACAAAAACAATGAGACACCACACAAAAGTAGAAATAAAAATAATAAAAAGCCACAAATCCACAACCAAGCCAGCCAGCCAGCCAGACAAACAGACGATAGGCCGTCGCAGAGGAGCTAAATAAAACTTTCACTTTCTCTGCACTCACCAAACCACAACAGACCACAGATCAGTCGCGCACGATCCAATAAGCGAATGAACGAACAAACAGAGGTATGAAAGTACATACGACGTTCGTCCGGCCTCCGTCGGTGCACCCGCTTGGCCAACTTAGCGGCCAACCAGCCAAGCAACCAACCATCCCATCTAACCATTGCACCGTGGCGTCACGACATGCAAATTTATGAGCTAAGCTAAGCTGTGGCGCTGAGTTGAATGGAGTTACATGGTAATGGCATGACAGTAGCAGTAGCGTGCTGATGGTTGAATGGTGCGGGGAAAACGTCGCGTAATTATTGCCACCGTAGAGAGCATATATGTATGTACGATCATACATACTTACGCATGTATGTTTGTTTATAATAGATATAGAAAAGGTCTGTATGTATGCGCACCTTTCTATGGACTTGTTGGCTGACTAGTTACTTGGTTGGGAGGCCTTTCTATTGAGTTTGCTGTTCATATTGAGCTCACGGGTACGCTCACCTGGATGCACGCATACGCCGTTTATTATTTACTCTTAAGGCATCCACACACCTATGCGATTCTGTCGGTGCGAATCTGTTCCGACAAAAATTACAACAATGCCGACCATAGTTTTAAATGAGGAACCACACACTTATACGATTTTGCTGCAGCGATTTATTCGAACATTCACAGTTCTTCTTTTGATCGTGCCGAAATCGCCGCGTTTTGAGAACGAAAAAGGTCAAAAGAAGAATTTTACAATATTAAAACAAAATTAAGAATTTTATTTTTGTTGAAAAATGTTTTTTGTTTGTAAATTGACAGTTTTTACTGCGATAAAATCGCAGAGATGTGTGCGTACTTGCGTTTTCGAAGGAGCAACGTCTGTAGCATCAAAAACGGCGCAGATTCGTTGCGACAGAATCTCATAGGTGTGTGGATGCCTTTATGCGACAAATGAAAAGTTCTTCGAAAAACAATTTGGTTTAGTTATGTATGTACCTATTATAATTAAATTTTAAGAACTGTATTAGTTATGAACATTTTAAAGTTAGCCGATAGTGTTCTCCAGTAATTGTTATTTGTGCATAAACTGTTACACAGAATTTTTTGAAAATCGGTTGAGGTTTAGATACATAGATAAATTATAAGCGAATTATTGTACCTTGATGTGTTACAATAGTTATAATACATAAGTATGCTGAGGTTTAAGTTAGGGTATGAGTTTTGAACAATTACTTGGTATTTATTTTGTTTATTCGAAAGTTCAAAGAACAACTCTAAAACTGATATTTTCTTTTTGATTGTTGGTATTTCCGACATGATGAATTGTGGAACGATTTTTTGTCCCTTATGAAATTTGGTTTGGAAACACGCCTGCGACAAACATGTGTTAAAGAAATTTTAATATCAAAATTTTTGCGTAGCAACTACAACTATTCGTCAAAGTCCCAATTGGTGGTTGTTGTTCTATGACTAAGAAACAGCGAACATTACCGTGGCTTTTCATAACGAGAAATGACACTACTGCTGGCCCAATGACGAAACAGGTTTGGCTCCAAACCAAATTTGCCATAGCAATACGGACACTCCTGCCACTATTTTTTTATTAAAATTCAAGTAATTGAGTAACTATTTTAAAAATTATACACGACGAATAGATTTATCTCCTCCTTTTTATGTAGTCGGTTAAAAAAAAACACAGGTTTCTATATTTTATTATGTGATTCTGCTGGAAGAATGTTAGAATTTATGAGAATGGGTTAATTTGGTTTTATCAACCAAGCGAAGGAAAAAAAATATCAGATTTTATTTATTACAGATTTTAAGGAATTTATTAGGTATGGTTTTTTCTTAGGTTTTCTTAGAATGTGTTTTACCGAAGTAAGAAAAATTACGATTTCGGCAAAAATTAATAGGGGATTTATATTATTAACAATAACAATATGCAAAATTGGCATACTGTAAACTGTGATAAGCACATCCAAGGGAAAATTCATATTTTAATATTGTTGGCTTGTTTTCAAATATAATCGTAAAACAGAACAAAAAAGTATTTAACATTTTATCCTTTGCATTACAAGTGATTTGTATGTCTAATGTGCTAAACTCAATGGGAACCTTAAGAATTTGTACTTTTTATTTATCGCAAAATGTACTATGCATGGTATCATATACATATGTATAATTGAGGGTTTGTACTACTTCAAAGGCATAATTAAACATACCCAGTAGGGTTGCATGAAAACTTCATTCAACTAGGAACTAATTAAGCACTATTCAAGCAATTATTTTGTATGGTTAATCGAGCTCAATTAGCGCCTTAATCGAGAGAGTGGCTAATGCTCGATTAGCGGCCTGTCTGAACAAACTTTTCAATAATTAAATTTGTTATTTAACTGGTAATGGCAATTCGTTCGTTTTCGTGTCAATAAAACATAACAAAGGACTTTAAGAGTGTTTAAGGAAGATTTCCTGAATTTGCGGAGGCTGCAGGTTTCATCGGAGAAAAAACGCATTTTCAAAAAAAAAAATTCTTCTGGCAAAACTTTATACTTTGTACTCTCTCTTGCCAGTTCTTAAATAATTCCTTTTCCTTTAATTATTTATGTTAAAAAATTGTTAAATTAATGTAGGTACTGAATTTTCTCACGCGGTTTCACACAATTACTTGGGTTCCTTTCTTTTGCTCTTCAAATACTGCATCATGCTACATATATATGTACATTCATAACTGTGGGTATTTATTAAAATTTTCATTTTCCCTTCCTTTCACAATGAATACTTGCTAAGTACTTAATAAAAATAAATAATAAGAGCGAGCGCCAGCCAGAGAAATTGCCTAGTTTTCCAAGTTAAATACTGCATCCGCCGCGTTGAAACGGAGAAAATGAATGTTGTCTATTGCTGCAACTTTGCGCAAAAGTATGTATGCATGTATGTATGTATGTATGTAAGTACCAGCATGTACGCGTACCACCAACAGGTCCAATCTGCATTTGCGCCTTCTCTCTGATCGCAGTCATTGTCTTTATGAATAAAATACACGCATATGCACACAATGTGGTACAATACTAAGTATTTTCGCCTTCTTTCTATTTAATTATGACGATCGCCTTTGAAAACAAAGCCCAGATTTCTATTTTATTCAATATCAATAGGTAGACCAAAAACAAAAGTGTATTCAACACACAAGTGAAACCAACTAATGTTATATATGTACGTATGTATGTACATATGTATATATGTATTAACATTAACGCTTTTGTCTTCGTTTGTACAAATTTGAATCAGTAGTTGTCGAGTTGGGTGAAGATCCGCAAAACCAAGTATGTAGTGGCTTACAAACTTACGTATAGAATGCATGCAAATATAAAGTATGTACATGTGTAAGTAGCAATGAATAATGTCGATTTTAAATTTCAACCAGATACCCAAAATAATTGTTATTCTAATGGGATCGAAAACGACACCTTTTTTAAGAGAAATTTTTTTCGTCTTGGTATAATAATTATTTACGAGAAATATATTTTTTCTTCTCGCGGGACGATTATATTCAGATGGGAATCACTTACGTCTTTTCATAATAATTATGCGGGATTTTTATTTTTCTGGTCTCTCGAAATGTTTATTTCAAGACGACAATGCTTTATGTCCCCCGTTTTCTCTTAATAGAACCCGTCTATGTACTGCCGATTTCACGAAATTAAATGTAAATATCTCAGGGCACGATTATTGGAATTTTATTTGATAACATCTGGCAACCCTTTCAAAAAACTAAAACCACGCAAAAGCAAAGCCCTTTAATTTGACACCTCATTTTTGAAACAATCGTGGCGTTAAATCTTCGAACTCAATTAAGAAGTTTCATTTCAATAAAAGTCCCATATAATTATTAAAAGAGGACGTAAATAATTTTCCTCTTGAAATAAACGTCTCGCGAGACGAAAAAAATAAAAGTCTCCGATAATTAAATATTATGAGAAGACGAAAAAAATTTCCATGGTAAAGTAATCGTCCTGCGAGACGCGAAACAATAAAAGTCACAGATAATTGTTAGGAGAAGATGAAAAAGTTTTTAGTCTAACAGTTTTCGTCTCGGGAGACGAAAGCAATTTTGCTATTGTTCAATAGTAATTATACACAATATTTAATTTTATTTCTTATAATCGAATTAGTCTACCATTCTGTGTATTCGCGGCAAAACATATCTTAAGTTTCGGTCAGATCTTTTTGTTTGTCTT